AAAGTGGTTTTGACATTTGAAACATTTGATCTGATTATTTCGCATATGTCTTGTGCCGAGATTATACTCTTGATTAGATCGTAATGTGAATCGAGGCCTTCTTTTACTCCAGTCAGAATTCCACTAGCAACTTGCCGGTATTTAGGTAGATTGTACAGGGTGTAGCCTGGGAATTGGTTTATTTCAGTTTGTCATCCGAAACGTTTGCTTCCATAATTGTGAAAATGTCTACATATAGATTTGTAGAGTTTTCTGGACTTGGATCTTTTGTCCAGTGACATCCCTCCAGCATTCCACTGGAGAATCTGTAGACGTTGTGATTCGCCCTGACGAGGGCGATTTCTCTTAAAGCATTGTTTTAGGCTAATCATAATAGATAGAAGTCAGATCAAATGCCTAGTGATAGACTTCATAATAGATAGAAGTCAGATCAAATGCCTAGTGATAGACTTTATTGCCGTACGAAGATACGTTGTCCAGGGTGCACCACGTGGTGGTAAGTCTATTGTGCACCCCTCTTTGAAAATATCAATGCATAACGTTAAGTTTATGTCAGGACGGAACGATTTTAAATGAATGACATGTATTTGCAAATGAATAAAATGGCAAATTTTCTCAACATTTAGGCAATAATCTCATTATCGAAAAGGTACAAGAAATAACAACACGAAACACAAAAACTCATTTTAAACGTGGGCAAAAGTTAGAATGTCCACAAACTTGAGGTTCTATGTGGTTTGATATGAAATTATAACAATTTTTTTGAAATAACTAGAGAAAAAAAAGAAAGTACATATGTTTTTTTTCTTCATCTAGCGCCTGTTCCTCCTCCACATAATATTCAACTTTGCCAAGTTGGGAACAATGGAGCCAATCTTACATGGGATGTAGTAACCTCTTCTGGAGTAGAAGTGGTTGGATATCGGGTTTATTTCCAAGACGGTAAAAAAAAGTGGAAACGTTTTGAAATAAGAAAGCCTCTATTCTTCCTTCCATTTAAGCAAGAGGTATTAAAAGGATCAATCTCCGCTATTTATACACCTCTTTTCAAAAAAGGCACCGTTTTTGAAGGAGGTAGATCAGAACCAATTGCAATTCAAAAGACCCACCGAAGTAAGTTCTAAAGCTCAATTTTACGAATCATTACCAAAATGTATCTATTGCTATAAGCAGTGTGTGGAGTAATGAATCCAGTGAAGATACTCTTTTCTAGTATAATTTACAAATCAATGGTTTATTCACCTTCAAAGTTAAGTCACTTGAAATAACATATTCAGAATTGGGCGTTCTATGTTGAGTCACCTGGTTCTCTTGAATGGTATCTTTGGAGAGGAAGGGTACTGGAGAGGTGGGGTTGGGGGGGTGGGCGGTAAAAGGGGAAAGAGAAGGGAGACCAAATCAAGAGTTTATTGGAGCAAGGTATTAAGATAGTCCCCATCTTATCTCATCAATGTGGCTAAACTAGAATTTTATGCGCACAAATATCACAATGTCAAATAACTGGAAGAGGCAAATTGTCAAATATGGAATACTTGACAGGTCATGAAATAACTAGGAGAAATTGTGAAAGTGCATATTTATTCTCTCTCTCTGCCTCCCTCTACAGAAAAAATTCCGCCACCACAAAATATTCAATTGCAGCAAGTTGGAGACAAGCAAGCACGCCTTTCATGGAATGAAGTGACCTATCCAGGAGTAACTGTGCTTGGATATCTCGTTGTTTACAAAGACGGTAATTCGAAATGGAAACGTCATAGATCAACAGCTTGTGAAGTTGTTCTTCCATTTGAGAATGAAATGTTTGTGGCACAAGTAGCCGCCATTCATACAAACTTCAATGGTCACAGGAAAAAAGTTCTAGGAGAAAGGTCAAAGTCGATTAGTATTCAAAAGTCTCACCAAAGTAAGTCATGGTGTTAATTTAAAAAAAACATAATTTAAACATATTTATTCCATTGAGCAGAAAATATGGAATAGTGTATTTGCTATAGTCAAACATTTCTCAAATAATTTATAAATCTAGTGTTTATTCACCTCCTAAGCTTTAACATTTGAAATGACATGCTTCGAATTTGGTGTTATGGAGAAAGATGCCTTGACTACTTGAAGTGATCAATGGGACATGGGCTGATATAGTTGGAGAGATATGTGATGGGGTATGTAGAGGGAAGTAGGAGAAGAGAGACCAAATCAAGAGTTCTTTGGAGCAAAATATTAAGGCAGTCTTCATCTCAAGACCCCACTTGAACTCAACTAGAAGTTGGTCCGAGTTAGATGCCTCTATGTCACAGTAGTACACAAATTGACTCACTTTTCACTTCTTATTGGCGCACAAGTTCCTTTTGAGGCAAGTACGTTTATACAACTCCACAATTGCTACATTAGTTCTGACAATAGCTTATTTTCCTCTCAAAACTCCTGTTCCAGACGCCGAGACTCAATTGTTTTGGAAAAAGTGTAAAGCGAATTTAGACTTCTCTCGAGATCAGCAATTGAAGGAACCTGAAATAAATTCAAATGTTTGCTCCACTTAGCAATTCAATTCATGCAAATTAGTTGATTTACAAAACACATTCTAGGTATTGACTGTGGAAATACATTAAGACAAATCTGTGCATACATTACAAGCGATTGAAAATTTGGATGGAATCATTTCAAAGTACCAGTTCCTTCACAGTGCCTCTTCAATTTCAAGCATTCGTGCCCACCCATTCGATTCACTCATGTGCATCACACTACACTACGCTGTGATGCAAACTTTGAGATTTTAGACTGTCACAAGAATCGGATTCTCGTATTAATTCTATGAACACATTTGAAAAGATATCCTTAATGTCGTCAACACTGGTAAGTTTGCGAGAGATGCATTATTGAAATCGTTGTCACAGCATCAATTTTGCGGTTAATTACACAGGGAGACCTGAAATGCTCAAATTTGTGGCGAAACAAATTTTACTGAATTAAATTAGTACAGTCAGAATGAAAAAATGGTGAAATGGCTGTTTTGAAAGAAGTAAAGTGCATGCAGTGGACCCTTGGAATGTCTGTCTAATTGTCTTGCAAACAATGCTGAAAATCCATTACATTTGCAGCATTTGAATACTGAGCTGAGACGAACTTGGGAACATTCAGTTACAATGTGCCTATTGTGATATGGACATTGGTTGGAGGCATATTGCAAATATTTGCAATTCTAAGGTGGACAGAGTTTGAGGAATTGGTGTTTTTTTCAAATATGTCTGGTCTAGGTCTTCAGTGGCATTGTCAACCACACTGAGTTCCTTGTCAAATAATGAAATTTGGATAGCACGTAAGAGGATTCATGCACTTATTTGGTAGAGCCTTTACGAGGAACACCATCGAGGGTAGAAATCGTTGATTACATCTGAATAATCCGATTCAAATATCTAGTACCACGATATCTGGAAGATCATTTTCAACTAATATAAATAATATCTCTGAGCGTGTTCTCTCTCTCCCTCCCTCTACAGATAAAATTCCGCCACCACAAATTGTTCAATTACAGCAATTTGGAGACAAGCAGGCACGCCTTTCATGGAAAGAAGTGACCTATCCAGGAGTAACTGTGCTTGGATATCTCATCTTTTACAAAGACGGTAACTTGGAATGGAAAAGTCATATATCAACAGCTTGTGAAGTTGTTCTTCCATTTGAGAATGAAATGTTTGTGGCACAAGTAACCGCTTTTCATACAGCCTTCAATGGTCAAGGGGGCAAAATTCTAGGAGAAAGATCAAATTCGATTAGTATTCCAAAGGTCAACCGAAGTAAGTTCTTTAATTAGATTTTGAAACACATTATTTAAGCAGATTTACTGCATTGAGCAGAATATATGTAGCAATTTATCTGTCAGAGATATTCTTTCCTAGAGCAATTGACAAAATTAGGTTTCCCACACCTCCAATATTTATGCACTAGGAAATAATGCTACTGTTAAACAATATAAAAAGACTAACTTAGAAATGTGCATGTGTGAGAGCGTGTGAGAAGAGACTGAAATCTCCCTCTATGTTCATTTGAATTCAACACATTTTGTGACGCTGCTTTCCACTGAGATGACTTCACCACATTACTCGAGGAGTACCTGAATTTGGCCCCCGAGCTATCAGTTGACGTGGCTCACGAACGCACGAGCTCGGTCTGCATCATGAAACACACCTCAGTTGTGGGCCCGTTCTAGAGTGCATGTGACTCATTTCTTCATCCATTGCTGCAATTGCAGATTAACTGTTGGGCCTGTCTTGTATTTGTAAATTAAGGTCTAACTTACTGTAGAACAGCCGATTGCCTCTTTGGCAAATGACATTCAAGAAAGTATCAACCTTCAATAGCTAACGACATTCCCGTAGGTCAATTACCTTCCAACCTATTTCGACATGGATACAATTGATGAATATTTGCATGGAGACACGATTTTCCCAGAAGCCTCTTTCGTGGGCTGATGCCGAATTCGTAAATTCTGGAATTAGAGCTGGCATAACTTAGTGTTTGCTAAGAGCTTATATTGCACGTATGAGAACAATTAGTGATGAAAAAGCCGTTAATATGTCCCTAAACCCTCATAGGAAGGCTGATTTTCACTTTGAAAAGGACCACTTAAGAAAGCATCAAACTTCGTTTGAGAAGGCAATGACCATGAACCTATTTCAAAAAGGGCACGCAAACTAAACCACTTCAAATGTCTCAAACGAATTGGGGCTTGAGGAGCACGCTCTAGATTTCTTTGAAAATATTTTGAAAACATACCGAAAAGGATTGCTGTGCAGAGTATGAATTTGGATTTTCTTACGTATGAAACTCACATTTTTTCTCAAATAATTCTGCTGTAATCTTTCTTTTCTACTCATGAAAATTTGCCTATTACCATTTAAAACTCACCAGCTGTAAGGCACGAGGTCATATTAGGCTAACAAAATTGGCGTCAGCTATTAATTCACATCTACTAGAACTGCTGGAGCAGAACCGTTTTGCAATTCTTAAGGTCATGTGCTTAATATGCACAATGTGGCGATATTATTCACAACCCATAGATAATCACACAAACAATCCTTGAGAATGCGTTTTCATTTCCAACTTTTCTGCAACACTTTTTGTTGCAACGCTACAATTATAAATCAGTCAGTTTCGAATCTCTTCACTCTGTTCATTCAAGAGCCTCATTTCGACTCAAATGCTCGCAATTCACTATTTGCATCTTTTAAATGTGTTATACTCAGTTCTTTCCCTATTTCCTCCTTTTAATTAACATGAGTAGCCAGTTTTACTGAGTTTATTATGATTTTGCAATGATCATGGCTTAGAAAGAGTCTTTCATATGGTTTTACTTGAAGAATGTAGCTTTACGACTAACTGACAAGTTGTTAACTATTTCAAAATCTACACCATGGTCTTTTGTAGATATCCCAACCACTACTTCAGGTAGACTGGTTGCCACAACAGCGGACTCGTGTTTGAAGCACAAAATGATATATTCCCACTATTACCTCAACTGTAGAGCTTCCCGACAGACAGATTACCTCTGAATTCATTGGCGACAAAAAGCGACAAAAAGCAAAAATAAAAGTAAACCTCAAGAGCATGCCGTGTCATTGCGAATAAGCAATTAATAATTTGTGATCTCCAGTTTGAGCAATAGCTTGAAGTGATGGTAATACCTTGTTGGCAGCCTAACACCAAGCATCATTTGAACTCTGAGACCTGTAACAGTTTTAAATGTCCCCCGAATTCATTAAAAATCCCACATACAAAGCCCTACTCATGATTGTCTTATTACGTGTATGCCAACAGCACTGCCACAATGAAATAAGCATATTTGGATTTGTGTAAATACGTGCCTGTCAATTTGATCAATTTCAAAATGCAGTTTTCACGATGGAACGGTGGTCAACATGAGGTGAAAAATCGTCAAACGCATTGACATTGATGCCAAACTTTGATAAAAGAGTCTTGAATCTCCCTATCTCTCCAAAATGTGTCTTTTTTCATAATATCGGATCAGCAAAGCCGCCTCAATGATATTTGGGAAAGAGATGCCTGATGTGAATCGTGATTGCCGTGTTTGAGTGACATTGACACAGAGGTTAGTCACTGTTGAAGTGCATGTGGCTTCTGTTGTTAAGTGGTTGGTCGTAAGATCTCTCCACTCATGAACTCATATGCTCCATCCGCATTAAGAAGCTCGACTCCACCTTTGGTGAATTTCAACCACGTGCATAGTACCATGGGTGGTAGCATATCATTGTGTTCAAAGTATGTAGTCGGCCACGCCAAAATGACAACTATTCAGTAGCATATGCCGAATCGTGACACCCACTAACAACCATCAATGTGCCCAATAGCACGGTGAACTTATAAGTGTGCATGGTATTGCTTTATGAGGTAATCGGACGAAAATATTGTGTGCACATGGTATTATTGTCTCTCACTCTACCCATACACCTTTTTGGGCAGAGTTATTTTGGTAGTCACTTTATCCCCACTGCAGCTATTAGTATCCGCAATAGTTAATGCCAAATGTGCTTGAGTAATTGCGTTAGTGGACCAACCAAGTATGATGTACCGCATGCAGTCCACTATGGCTGAATTACTGGTACCGTCACCGACGGCAGAGTCAGCTGCGGAAGTGAACTTTACTTGGCATTAAGAAAGTGACTTAGTATCCTCCTTTGTAGTTAACAACATTTACTAGTCTTTATCCTAGAAGAAAGATTATTTCTTGAGTGTAGGTGAAATCGTATTGAGTAAAAAGAGAATCCGGAAGGAACAGTACGAAAAGGAGCATTATTGTCAGCTAAGTGTAACGGCTTTAGTATAATCCGGAAATCACTATGGCAGTTGTGTGGAGCTAAAATTTATTTGGTATAAAGAAAGTGAAAAATGTGTCAGGTGAGATTTTCCTTTCTCTATTCCTTCAATGATGGGAAGAAGGCCGTTGATGTCTCTCGAATATTGTGTGCGGGCTCCGATAGGTCTATACTGAAACTATCAAAATATTATGTAGAAGAAAAGGAAGCGTCAGATTGGCTGTCAGTAGAAGATTTCATTGCATTTTAATTGCCAAAGGTGAAGTGTGGTAATACAATTGAATAGGTTGCAACTCAGAAGTCCCAGTTTACGTCCTCACAGGGGCAGCTGTACTTTCGCCTCTCTAGCCTTACTTTTCATGACCTAACGGACTTGCTAATTTGCGTATTCAAATATCCGAGTTTTCACTTACTTGTGGTGATAAATGTTGGATATGAATTAGTTGCATGAAACGAACAGAGAAAAGAGGAAAGTTCATATGTGTTTTTCTTCCGCTTTATAGAATATGTTCCGCCTCCTCAAAATGTCCAATTGCAGCAAGTTGGAGACGAGTGGGTACGAATTACATGGAATAAAGTAACCGTTCCTGAAGTAAACGTGATGTCGTATAGAGTTTATTACGCCGACGGTTCTGGAAATTTTATACATTATGACACAACGAAAAATCAAATCGAAATACGATTTATTAGTAATACCTTTTCGGCAACTGTGGCCACATGGTATAAACGCACAAATGTAATCGAGGAACAAATGTTAGGACGTCGGGCAAGCATAGTTCGAATTCGAAAGATCCACCGACGTAAGTTCTTAAATTTAACATTTGTAAACATAACTTAGATGCGTTTATTCATTTGACAGAATGTACGGGCATCTGTGCAAGATATTCCTTTCCACTTTAATTTAAGAAAAATTAGTGCTCCTCATCCCCAAAGTTGATATGCTTGGATACAAAGACTATCGTGTCGCGTAGAATTGAGTATCAGTTAAAATGACATACGTAGAATTGGGTGCTCGGGACAGAGTCGGCCGGCTCCCACGTAGTTACCATCTGTAGTAATATGACTTAGCTTTAAATTTGAGTTCCTCAGAATAAATGACTTCATGCAGATAAGTTCTTTTTCAGAAAATGATCTAGGAATAGACTGTGGCCATATATAAAGACAAATCTGTGTATTTAATACATTCGATTGCAATTATGACTGGAAATATTTAGAAAAAGACGCAAGTGCGGTATATTGCATGAGTTGGAATGTCAGCCAATAATGTCAAGAAGCAAAACGCCATTTCATGTGTCAATTCAATTCATGCGAGAGAATGTAAACTTAGATTGCGGGAAATCGAAGTTAGTGCCTTGAAACTCGGCAATAGGCCAGAGATCTGTGGAATATTGAGAACATGTACATGACTTATTATCTATAGTGAAACAGATTGGCTTTTCAGAATTCTCTTATCTTATTGGCTAGGTCATCACCATATTCCACCAGTGAGTTCCCATAATTACTGTCGGATTATTTTTGTGAATATATTTAGCCTACTGGCAGGTGATGATAAATTAGTATGGTGAAGGAAAGGGAGAAATCAGCTCCATTTTCTATTACTTCCAAACTCAAGAGCACTTCGTCAAAACTCGAGCAATACCCACCTACCACACTCTTCGAGGCATTATCCAAAAAAAATAAATAAGAATAATCGCCTCAACGACATATGGGAAAGAGATGCCTAATGTGAATTACGATTGTTGTGTTTGAGTGGCATTGACAAGGAACTTGGACACTGCTGAACCTGCGGCAATTGATTTGCGATTGGTCGAGAGTTCTCTCCCACCGTGGTCTCACATGCAGCCTGCGTATCACGAATCACGGCTCTACCTTTTTACCTATTGGAGTGCTCATACAACTCCTTTCTTCATTCATTTCAACCACGTCCACTTCTCGGTATTGCTTTAAGAAGTAGTGGCATGAGAATAGTATGTTCGAGTGTTATCATGGTCTCTTGCCCCACCCATACACCTACTTGAGAGAAGTAATTTTGGCAGTCACTTCATTCGCACTGTAGGTGTTAGAAATAGTAATGGTTGTTGGCAAATGTGCTTGAGCAATTGCGTGAGTGAACCAACCAAGTGTAGGGTGCTTCCAGCTGGTCACGATGGCAGCTTGCATTCAGACAGGAGGAGTTGCTGAATTACACTTCTCCCAACTATAATAAAAATTGATCGGTATCGACAATTTCTCAACTTACCACTGTTTAATTAATGGAAAGAAGCAATTGTGCTGCACCAAAGTCTTCTTAATTTCCTTTCAAGTACTCACAAACAACATGTCCAATCGGTTCGCCTGCTATTGGTTACAAGCACAGCCTAATTTAAGCCCACTGGCGATATTTGAACACATTCGGTTGTCACACGTGCTACCTTGAAAATCGCAGTCTCACCTTTCACGCAACTATATATGGATTTTCAGCAAAGTCCCCATTTTCGTCCTCACAGGGGCAGCTGTACTTTCGCCTCTCTAGCCTTACTTTTCATGACCTAACTGACTTGCTAATTTGCGTATTCAAATATCCGAATTTCCACTTACTTGTGGTGATAAATGTTAGATATGAATTAGTTGCATGAAACGAACAGAGAAAAGAAAGTTCATATATATTTTCTTTCTCTTTATAGAATATGTTCCGCCTCCTCAAAATGTCCAATTGCGGCAACGTGGAGACAATCTAGCACAACTTTCATGGGATGAAGTGACTACTCCTGGAGTAACTGTGCTGTCATATCTGGTTTCTTACTACCATGGGAGTGGACATTGGATGAATTATGAAACAAGGCAGCGCGAAGTCAACATTACATTTGTCACTAATACCATTTGGGCGTCGGTTGCCGCTTATTATAAACGCATCAATGTACTCGAGAACAAAATTCTTGGAAAAAGATCAATTACGGTTAGTGTTCACAAGGCCAAACTAAGTAAGTTCTTAAATTTAAATTTTATCAACGTTATTTAAATGATTTTTTGCCTTGAGCAGAATATTTGGAAATGCATCTGTTCAGGTTATACTTTTCCTTTTTAATTTATAAAAAATAAGTGTTCCACACCTATGCAATCGAAGCACTTAGAAAGAAAGACCGTCATGTTGCATAGAAGTTAGTATCATTTAAAATGACATACGAATAATAGGGCGCTCTACACAAAGTCGGCTGTCTACCACAGGGTTAGCACCTGAAGTAACTTGATACAGCTTTAAATTCAAATTTTTCTGGATGAATAACTTCATGCAAATTGCTTCTTTTTCAACAAATGATCTAGGAATATACTGCGAACATGCATAAAGACAAATCTGTGTATGTATTGCATTCGATTGCTATTATGGATGGAATCACTTTGAAATGTCAGTAATTTTGCAATGTCAGTACAATTTTAATCATTCAAACCAACCAACTCAATGCACCACGTGTATTGGTCTGAACTATGCGCTGTTTTGACTGTCACAAGAATTGGCTTTCTAGGCAATTTCAGTGAAAGCAAGGAAAATGAATGGAACACAAATGAGCCGATGATTCTGAGTCAGTAGAGTGGTAGAGAGAGAGAGAGGGAGAGGAGAGTCGCGTTTAGGAAAAGGCTTGTGTACAAATGTTTCAATGTCTCGCAAACTGAAATGATTAATTGATAGATATAAAATAAAAGCCATTGTAGGAAACAACGAGAAAAAAGTAGAAAGTTCATGTGATTTTATACCTTAACATAGCACATATTCCGCCTCCTCCTCAAAATGTCCAATTGCAGCAACGTGGAGACAATCTGGCCCGCCTTTCATGGAATGAGGTTACGGCTCCAGGAGTAACTGTGCTGTCATATCTGGTTTATTACAACAACGACAGGAAGCATTGGAAAGAGGAAGAAACAACTGCACTCGAATTCAATATTGAATTTGTTGAAAATTACATATGGGCTTCGGTTGCTGCTTATTATAGACTCACCAGTGATCCCAAGAACAAAATTCTTGGAAATAGATCAATTACGGTTAGTGTACGCAAGGTCAAACCACGTAAGTTCTTAAATTTAAATTTTGTCAGTGTTAGTTAAACGAATTAATAGATTCTAGCATAATGTAAGGGGGATGACCTGTTCAAGTTATTCTTCTTTTGTGAATTTCAAGAAAAATAAGTGCTCCTCACCTCCAAATTTGATACACTTGGAAAGTAAGACTATCATGTTGCGTAGAATTTAGTATCATTTAAAATGACATATGTAGAATTGGGTGTTCTGCACAGAGTCGGCTGGTTTCCTCGGGGATATAACCTGAAGTAATATGATACAGCTTTAAATTGGAATTCCTCAGAATAAATAACTTAATGCAAATAAGTTCTTTTTTGACAAATAATCTAGAAATAGACTGTGGCCATTCATAAAGACAAATCTGTATATGAATTACAATCCATTGCAATTATGACTGGAATCACTTAGAAATGACAGTTACTTTGTAGTGTCGATTCCATTCAAAGCATTCAAACCAATTAATACAATTTACTCATGTACTTCTTTTAACTCTACGTTGTGGTGCAAACTATGGAATTTTAGACTGTCACAAGAATTGGTTTCGCATGTCAATTTTATGCACAAATTTGAAAAGATAACCATAATGTCGACGACATAGGTTAGTTATCGAGAGACCTATTAGTGAAATCGTTGTCTCAGCATCAAATTTGAGATTAATTACACAGGGTGGCCTGAAATGCTTAAATTTGAGGCGAAAATCATTGCAATGAATAAAAGGAAAAGAGGAAATGGGTGTTTTGAAAGAATTAAAGTGAATGCAATAGTACTTGGAGTATCTGTCGAATTGTCTTGCAAACAAAGCTGAAAATACATAGCACTTGCAGCAATTGAATGCTGAACTGAAACGAAGTTGAGAACATTCTTTTATAATGCGAAAATCATTTACAGTAAGCCCGTTGTCATATGGACATTGTCTGTAAGCAAATTGCAATAATTTCGTTTTCTTATATGGATTGAGGTTAATAAATTGGTCTGTTCCAAATTGGTCTGGCCATGACCTTCAGTGGCAATGCCAACCACCTTAATCACTCCTTTAAGTAATAAACACTGGATAGCACGTAAGAGGACACATGCACTAATTCGGTAGGGCAATTACGAGCTTTGAATTGTTGAAAACAAGTGAGATCACCAATCGATAATTATATTTCTAGATTCACTTTCAGTTAGATGAATTTTAACTAGTGCCGCAACAATGAATGAGATTTGGGCAGCTCTCTACTCAACAATTTCGGCAACGAATATACTAATCAATTTTCTGATAATGCGTTCATTGGTTTACTTAACGAACATGTTAAAACAGTTTCAATACAATGGTCTCCAAACCTTCTCACAACCTTTTTTTAATCATTGCAAATATTAGAATTTCCATTTACTTGTTGTGATAAATGTTTAGGTAGAGAAAAACGTGAATGTCAATATGTACTTTTCTCCCTCAACATAGCATATGTTCCTCCTCCTCAAAATGTTCAATTGGACCAAGTTGAAGACAAGTTGGTACGTCTTACATGGAATGAAGTAACAGTACCCGAAGTAACTGTGTCTGGATATCTGGTTCGTTACTACCTCGATGGTAAAGGGTGGATAGAATGGGAAACAAATGAGCTCGAATACTACATTAAATTTGATGCAAATTACTTATGGGCTTCGGTTGGCGCTCAATATAAACGTACTGATGTAATCGAGGACATAAAACTAGGAAATATGTCAGACCCACTTCTAATTCAAAATTCCCACCTGCGTAAGTTTTTAAATTTCAATATTGATAAACTGTTCAAAAATGCTCTTTGCATTGAGTAGGATGTGTGAAGTAACGGTTTAATTAAGTCACTACTTTACTAGCATAATTTACAACTTTCTGAATGAATTTTATTCTACTTGCAGGTCATTAATAGAAATAAATTGAAGCAGCTGACAAATCTGTCACCCCTCTTTTGAATATGCTTTGAATCGCAGAACATCACTTGCCCACATCTACTTCTTACCTTTTGATATTCGACATTATAGCCCTTTTGATTTTCAAACTAATCAATTATATCTCATCCTAATTCGATTCTCATTTATTGCACTTCAAATGTAATAAAATCATCTGTTGACTGCTAAACCATCATTCCGCACTCTTGATTTTTATATTTTGTAAGTTTGAGTAAAGGCCTATCGATGCCCACACTCCTTGTTTGAGGGCCCTCAACGGCTCTGTTCCTCGCCATATAGGGAGTAGAGTATGGACGATCTCGCCTGACACATTTCTCACTTTCTTTATGCCAACCCAAGTCCATGTATTAGTAGTGCATCATCCAACTTCGAACGAAAGTAGTGTGGAGTGACAAGCTGTCATCTGCGTGGCACGAGTGAGAGGAAGAAGACAAATTCTTTCTCAGTGGCACACTACTTCCTAAATGCAAAGTTGATAAGGGTCTTACGGCACCAAATCCCCAATTTTTTTGAATAAAGTAAAAGGCAAGAAGAGTCGAGATGTCATATTTCATAACTTCAACCTCGGTGATTGCATCAACGACGTATACTGCTCTTGAAAATGCGGTGGGATAAATATATCCAAAAAGAGAATTGACTCCAATGGATTTCATCTCTTCACTCTGCTCTTACCTTTCTCAAAGTAATTCGGTTTAGGCATATTTTCAACTTTGTTTCTCATTTTGTAATATGAATCTGTTTAAACTGGGAACAACTAATCTTGGAGCACTTATCTTACCAGAATGCATGAATTTAATATAACATTAATTTCATAATCGCAACAATTGGTCTTCAGAGAAGGATATTAAGAGAGTCTCTATGTGTTTCTGCCTTCCTATGGCGCTTGTTCCCCCACAACACCAGATACGCAGAAACTTACAGAACACCGACAAAAATCACTAAACCGAATCCTTTGGCAATCGAACCCAAACATCAAGAAATGAAAACAGTAAAGAGCTACACAATCCTAATTTTTATCAATATGCTCTAAACAATATTGCAAATTTAAGATCCAAGAAGCAATCGCTGTGTTATGAAGGCTGCTCAATGGTGATCTCAATGGCTCGAACGGCCTAAAATTCGTCAAAATAAATCAAATTGACTTTAATAAACTAAATCCCCAATTGGCTGCGATTTTTACTCATTTATAATAATTTTAAAAGACTCAGGTTAAATCATCAAATGCTATAATTTCATCGCGCCCGCATACTGAAGACTACGACTTACTTGCCCTTTTTGGAAGAGGAAGTATTTTCAGGGAGCGTCAACATGTCTCAATAATTCCATACGCTGAGCAGATACTTCAAACTTGAAATTGTAAATTCACGTAGGTGAAACCCAAGATTGTGCTTTGAACGTTTTGGATGAAAAAATCGTTTAAAAAAATGACCCCGAAAAGCGTTTTCATGAAATGGTCTTTGCAATAATGCCAGGTGAACTTGAAGCTGCCAATTCTATATTAGAGAGACTAAACGTCAGACTTCGGAAAAACCCTGAAATAGCGCAAAACTATTCATTGCTGGCGATCCATCATAAATAAACGCCTATTTTAGGGGTAGATAGGAACCAACCATTCTTAAAAGAAGTCCGACTGGTTGCTTATGAATGGAACAATGTTAAATAATGTCCTAAGGATTATGGTTAAAGAAAAAGACGCAATCACGTGGGGAAGCTGCTGAATTCGCCCGTGGATACCTCTCAGGCTCAATTTCAAGACGATGAATAGAGGAAATACACTCCTAAACCTCAAACAAAATATATATGCGACGAGGTGACACTACCTAGTAAAGTAGACAACTGTAAAGCTACAGACTTTGCAGATTACACTAAAAATCTATGGTTTGGAACTTCAATAGAAAGTTGTCAACACCATTGACATTTACTTCCACCATAGCACGTAGAAAGCACCGGTTCGCATCCGAACACCGAAGTTAAACTACTTCGGGCCGGGTTAGTACTTGCATGGGTGACCGGCAGGGAATATCCGGTGTTGCTGACTTTTTTGGGGTGCGCGATAGACTTACTCCACGTGGTGCACCCTGGACAATGTATCTTCGTACGGCAAAAAAGTCTATCACTCGGCATTTGATCTGACTTCGATTTATTATGATTAGCTTTAATAAAGGCCACAAGAGAAATCGCCCTGGTCAGGGCGAATCACAACGTCTACAAATCCTGCAGTGGAATGCTGGAGGGATGTCACTGGACAAAGGATCCAAGTCCAGAAAATTCTACAAACCTTTGATGCAGACATATTCACAATTATGGAAGTAAATATTTCGGATAAAAACTGAAGTACTACCAGTTCCCAGGTTACACCCTGTACAATCTACCTAAATACCAGCAAGTTGCAAGTGGAATTCTAACTGGAGTAAAAGAAGGCCTCACATAACATTATGATCTAATCAAGAGTATGGGCTCAACGCAAGACATATGCGGAAAAATCAGATTAAATGTTTGGAAATGTCAAAACCACTCCAAGGTATATGCAGTCTATAATCCACCCCAGAATTGTCCCAACTTTGACTTTCTGAACACCTCACACAAAACTGTAGTATTAGAAGACTTCAACGCCCCTTCCACCAGATTGGGCTACAAGGATACAAGCATAGCTGGAAAGGAAATTGAAGACATGCTAAGCAGCAACCCTCTGGAACTTATTTACAGCAATGAGGATCCGGCTACATATTTGCACTACAATGGAACCAGAACAACTCCTGACTTACTCCTGGCTTCAAGCGTCATCAGCGAACATAAATGTTGACGATGCTGGTTCTGGTCACAAACCAATCATTGCTAGTATTACCATCGGCGGCAGAGGCATGACATGGAAAGTGCCAAAAAAGATATCATGGAACTTCAAGAAGGCTGACTGGCCTAGATTCACAAATCTTTTAGAGAATGAACTTCACACAAGACCCCTCAACTTCAATCAACATTCTGACAAACTTTGCAACGATATCACGAATATTATGAGGAGATGGAAACACCAAATAATGTTCTTACTAAACCATTCACACAATGCGAATTCAATGCTGCGATAAAACAGCTAAGGTGCAAGAGGTCTCCTGGCGAAGACGGTATTCATCCGGAATTTCTTATTAGAATGGGACCAAAAGCCAAGGAAACCATGCTGACGCTTTACAACAAAATCTGGGAGACCAGTCTCGTTCCTCACCAATGGAAAGTTGCCACAGTAATACCAGTACAATAAAAAAGGGCAAAGACCCTAGCAACTTTGACAACTATAGGCCTATCTCCCTAACAAGTGTGTTGCCTAAACTTATGTAAAGAATGGTTAACAGGAGGCTCACCTGGTTCCTTGAGACCATCAATTTTCTTAAGAGTGAACAAGCAGGTTTTAGGCCACAAAGATCAACGAACCAACAAGTAGCCACTTTCTCCCAACACATCAAAGATGCCCTTGATGCAAGAAATACCCTTACGGCTGTTTTCGTCGATTTCAAATCAGCATATGACTTAGTATGGAAGGGAGCTGTCACAAGCTGCACTCTTTTCAATGTCTTCATCAATGACATAGCTGAGCTGGTACAGACAGTCACGGGCAAACAAGTGCTTACTTTACGCAGATGATCTTGT